AAAGATGTAATGAAGCGACACATTTTCTCAACACAAACATTGGCATGTTAGGTTTTGCATTTCTATTTCTTTTCATTTTGGCCAGCGACCAAGTTGAACGATATTGGAAAACTGGGCCCTCTCGAAACATACTTGTGCGTTGAGCGTGTCATTTACGCGTAGATCTAGTTAAGATATCTTGCTTTTATGTTGTTTGAGAATAATTCTCTGTGTAATAACGAATGGTACTTCGTACATTCATTAAAAATACCCAATTTTTCTGTTATTGCTTGGGATATGACGCCCTTCATTGAACAAACCCACAGACGAAAGGAAGAAAAAAAATCAGTTCGCGAAATTTGGTTTTCATGTTTTTTCGTCAATATGCCCCAGAAACTTCCAACAATTTACGCTTCTTTAATGTTGTAATTATTTTTTTCTTTCTTGTTTCATGCACATAGTTTTCTATGTTTTCAGCTGTTCCTACCAAGTGAAATGTCTTTGAGGAAGGTTTTATCTGTCCAATAATTGCTATGGTCGGATAATCACTGGTGTAAAAAGAATAAAGTAAGAATAGAAATCAAAGTACCATATTAGTGGCAAAACAAGTTTGAGTTCGAATCCAGTTGATATTATTGTATCGTTGTCTGTATGAATTGTCCGACATCTCTTTTCGGCTTATGCCATATTTTCAGTTTATTTTTATAGTGGTGACAGTAGATTCGGGTCAAGGTACCGGCATATTGAACATTCGCCCGATGCGTGATCAAATCCGGGGACGCCATCCTGCCGCCATGTCTTATGTTTGGGATCTTCCAAACAAAAATGTAATCTCTTGACTGCACTGAATGATTGCAAAAGAATTATTTCCTGAAGATGTAAAGCTTCCAATAGAAGTCGTTAGGTTCATAAACACTAATAAGTTACAGGATGTCATGCGACGGTTTAGTAAACTAAAAGTTTATAAAAACATACTTGCGGTGGTCCATGACTCAAGACAGTTTAAATTCTTTGACTATTTATTTGGCAATAGAAAATCATCTTGTAAAGAAGATAGATGTAGAAAGTACCAAGAAAAATTTGCAGAATTAAAAACTAGAAAAATGGTTTTAGGTAGGATAATGAATATTTTCTTTAGCTTGTATTAAGTAGTACATTGTAACAAACTTGTTATTTTACATTTTCAGTTTTTCTCCCTGTGAAAATTTATAAAATAAAGGGCGACGAAGCTTGTCCGGGGTGCTAGCAACACTAGGGCCAGTCTTGGGTGACAATAAAGTTGATAAGCGAATATTTGAATCCTAATTAGGTAATTATTTCATCATCCTTTCTATTTTGTCATCTAGCAACTATAATCTATCGTTGCATATACCCAAGCAATTTCTCATAAGAATGACATACTTTCTCCTTCACAGTAAATCGCAAATTTAAATGTTTCCGTTAAGTCATAAAACATTAATTATTAACATATTTAATTCAAGGTTAGAAAACCTAATACTCTCTCGTCTTTTCAGTTTTGTGCATTTACTATGAAAGTTATAAAGACTTTTTTTTTCAAAGTTTCTGTCAGTATTACTCTATTAAATAAGCGCCAATGACAAAATATATCCGTGACTTGCTCGGTAAGAGCAATATTTCTTACAGTCAATTTTATATTAAAATCTAAAATATCTCGAATGTCTGTTTATTGGATGAATATATATATATATATATATATATATATATATATATATATATATATATATATATATATATATATAAAATTCATTGGGATTTGTATTTTACAAAAAAGCATCTATGAAAATTCACATACAAAGGAATTTGGTGTCACCATAACTGCCCATTTAAGTGTGCATTACGCACAATGGCGACGGTCATTTCTGTTGCACGATCAATTTAATTTTAATAACAAACACACATGATGACATCAGTATAGTATATTGCATATTAACATTTGTGCTATGTCAATTATTTCTTAGTCACAAATGTAGTTCTCGTGTTTCTTACTTTTTGAAAGTCAAGTAAAATTACTAATGAACTGAATATGAAATTTCACTAAACGGATTAGAGTTAGCGAGATTCATCACATAATGGAAATAAAATTAAATCGACTCGAATATAATAGAATAACGTTCTCTAAACATTGCAGTTTAGTATTCTGGAAAATTTCTTACAAACAACTTATGAGAAAGAGATTGCGAATTGAACTGACTCTAATCAACATAGGAGTCAATTTTTGTAGATTGAAAAACCCAGTCAGTTTTTTGTTTTCTTTTTATGATGCAATTGTTCAGTGTTTTAAACCGCAATTTTTATAGTTCAAATTATAAACGTGGCAGTTACATTTTGGTTGAACTACATCATAAATTTCGCCGGTTATTTGTCGGTAACTGGCATTCAGAGAGGTGAAAAATGACTTCAAATATAATTAATATATTTAATTCATAGTGCTCAATATAACGCTCGTATTTTTTCCAATTATTCCATTTCGAAATAACCATTTTGTTTCGCTTCCACTTTGTTGTTGTTTCTTTGAAATCCGTTTAAAAGATGGCTTCAACAAACTAGCGAAAGAATTTGTCGCAATAAATCTATGTAAAATACTGAATACTGAAGCAATATATCTAATGTAAAAATCTATGTAAATCTAATAATGTAAAATCTATGTAAACTCTGAAGCATTATATGAATTTTAAGCATTTTTGGAAAATAAAAACGACAACGAATTTGAAAATTATTATACAGTTTTATAAATAAATTTGACGATAAAAACATTGGAAATGTGGCAGATTCGGAAAATGTTTGGCTTGACAAAAATGTGTTAGCTTTTCTAATACATTTTTTCTAAGAAAAAATGTTAAAATCACAATGTGATAAATGAAAGACTGAGAAATTAGAACTGACTTTTATTAATTATGGATGGTACGTAAAAGATGCTTCTAAGTTAAATCTATATAAACTCCTGCTGGAAATATTGAATATGTTGTTTTGATAGAAACTAGTGGTTTGGATGTCTTGTTCAGTTTCAAGCTTGAAAATGTTATGTTTATCCTACCAATGTATTATCATACAAAAGTTTAAACCAATTCTAAAAACTTACAATACAGGAACAACAAAGAAATTTACAGTAATTAGAAGACGTTTAATATTTAAGTTTTAACTTATAAGGAAAACCATAACATTATTAGATTATAGTTAATCCTATCATTAGCAAATCTATTTTAGTTAAAAGGCAAAGTAACTAAATTGAAACATAATTTCTTACATGAAGCGTTGTGAAGTTTATTTTGTCGTCATTTAATTTTTGTATTACATGTAATTTTTGATACTTTGTAGCGTAAATATCGTTATTCCGTGACCGTTAATAAAAACAAAAGTCAAGCAAAATACACACACGCACGTGCGCACACACGCGCGCACACACAACACAGATAATAAATAAAAAAAGATAAAGATTTGAATTTGCGTCATTTATGAATTGGAGTTTGTCTTATTATAGTAGCAACTTAGCCATTAGGCCATAAATATTCCACGAGTAGAGGTTATTTTAAGATGTCCTCGGTTATATTTTCTTTTCTAATCTAATTATTGTGTAATAAAACAATAACATTTTGTCATAGTTTCTCTACGCCAAAAATGCTATTGTCACAGTAATTAGATGTAATACCAATGAGATTTTTTAGATGAAGCATTGTCAATTTTTATCACGTTTTAACTAGTATTTCCTCCGTCATATTTCTTTTTTCATTTTAACGAAATGCTTAGGTCATTGTTTCCAAGCCACGTTGCTTGCTTAATGGTCGTAGAATAAAAACCAGGGAATCATGATAAACAAAAGATATAAAATGAAAGAAATACTAGTAAAAAATTATAATTAATGAAATATTTTATTGTTTTAAATTTTGAGTCGTAACAATAATTCAAGAAGATCTGGTTTGTTTGTAGTGTAGTATCCAAAAACAGAGTGCTTCTTTAGAAAGTCATAAGTGACAAACTTTAACTAAAAATCTTGTTTCTTTTTTCTGGTCCGCCATGGAAGCTACGACAACGTGGAGACGAAAAGCCGTGTTCTCGTTGCTTTAACCGCCAGCCACACAAATTCAGAGATTGTAGGCCTCTGAAATGCTGCCAGGTTCTTCGTGTCTAAGATAAGAAAAGAGCCCCTACTGTCTGGCAAGAATGTGTCTTCAATGGCCAAAAGTAAAAAAAAAAAAAAAAAAAAAAAAAAAAAAACACAGTCAGACTTTATCAGAAATGTAGAGTTCGTTCAACAAATTCACCAACGAGAACCCTGGAAAATCAATGAGATACACTGGCAATTATCCTTCCATGTGTCGGAGTAGTCAGATATGTGGTGCACGAAGCTATCAAATTAAAATCCTACATTATAAGGAAAGGGGAGTTCATGTCTAATAGTACCAACGAGAACCGTGTTATATGGTCAAAGCGCTTGTAAAACAGAGTCAGGCACTCTGTAGAGTACAACATGCTCTGGTTTTTTTTTTCTCAGAGGAGAAGAAATAAGTTAAAGATAAAAAAAAAAAAATAACAGAAGGAATGACAGGTGTAAGTACCCCGTATTGTGCACTACAAGGTCCAGCCGTTGGGGGTCGTGATCAATTGTGTACTATTATGTCTGGGTCGTGGTTGAGAGGTAGATTAACAAACGCACCTACAGTCTTAATGACACCCCGGAAGCTTCCATCGGCCATGATACCATGGCCAATATGAACAAAGAGTCGTAATCAAAATCGATGGCGCTCATATTGAATAGACTTGCATTTCGTGTATGTAGATAAGAATATTTGCTGATCAGTTGGTGCATGAATATTTCTATTAGATTATTGCTAAACAACTATAGTTGGCGTTTAGATTACTGAAAAAGGTACAACGGGGGACACGTTCTTAAACACGTATTCAAATTCTCAGAGACACCGAATCAAATTCCCAGAGACACCGAATCAAATTCTCAGAGACATTGAGTTTCTCTAGCAGAAATCTTCTTCAGCAAAGACGTTAAC